TGGTAGCAGCCGTCGAAGGGGGACATGTCCAGGCTGTACTGGCGGATCTTCAGGTACCCGCTGCAGTGAATGACCTGTCGGAGACAGAGGGAAGGCTCAGGGGCTGCCTGGCAGCAGGGATGCAGGGACTGGGCAGACCCCCCAGACGGGGACGGGGCCAGTCCTGCCACCGCCCCAGCAAAGTGGCACCATCTAAGGGTTTTCTACTCTTCTCTTTAGGTTGGGGCCGGGTTTTTTTCCACACGAGAGTTCAGCACTGATCTAAGGCCCATTAAAGCCAATGAGATTTTTTTTTTTCCACTGACTTAAGTGGTTTTTGGACCACCTCCTAACTACGCTTTTATTATTCTTCTAAAAAGGAAAGACGCGGAAGTGCCAAGCCGGTTACAACTCTGTAATGAAGAGTGTATGCGTGTGAGAGAAAGAGTTTACATGTGTGCGTGTGTCACATGTGTAAGACATGTCTGTTCTACGGAGGGAGCAGACGCGATCCGCAGCCAGAATGGGTCTTCGGGCGTAGGTTTAGGTATGCCTCCTAAATGCAGATGACTGCCGCGTACTTCCACCCTTAATGCTCTGTTATTAGGGTGTTTCTTCCCGGAGTTAAGTTCGGAAGAGATGTTCTTGTTCTATGGTACAGCGTGGCACAAGGCCTGCTTGGGTTGTAGGTCCCCACCGCTCTCCGGCCTGGTGCAGCTGACACCAAAGCGGGGAGAAGGCAGGCGAGGGGGGCACAATCCCCACCGAGCAGCCCTGAGCAAGAACCGTCTGAAACACCCGGGCAAAACCCTCGGTGCCGAGAGCCGCCCCCGAAGCTGACGAGTTACCCAATAAAGAAATCAATTAACCAGGGGCTCCCACCGTGCCACCGGACAGCTTCCCAGGCACCTCGGGAGTGCCGGTAGCTGAGCGAGGCTCCGCTTAAAAAGCAAAACAAAACACGAAAACCCCATGGGGAGCTCGACTGCTTGGTTTTGCGGTTTGAGCTCTTTAACCTGAAACTCCGCAAGAAATTCTGGCTCCGAACCACATGAAAGAGCACCGGGCTGGGGCAGCCCCCGCGGGCAGAGGGCTCGTCCCGGCTCCCGTCCCCATTGTCACCGCCTGCCC